CGATAAGTGTGGCAACCCTAGAGGAGAAGTTTACGAGTAGCGAGAGAGCGAAACAGGCCGGCTGTTGGGCAGTGTGCGCGATGTTCCGAAATAAAGCTTAATTTTTATTGTGCACTATGTCTTGTTAATATTTATATTAATGCAGTAAGAACATAATCTGTGATATGGAATTCGAGGATTGGTGGTAAAACATATAGGAAATCACCATAGGTCCTCGATCATCTAAAGTGTGTGTGCGTGGAAGGGGGCGATTCTTGATATCATAGTATGAAGCATAGTTTTTTTCACATACAGTCAAAAGTCGTTAATTCGGACACCCATAATTCGGAATGATCTATAATCCGGACCTCAAAACTAAAAACTTTCTGCGCATGCGCCGCGTTGACACATGCGCATAGGCGTTTACGCGTGCGCGTAAGACCCTTTACGACTGCGCATATGAGTTTGCGCAAGTGCAGAATACGTTTTCGCGTGCGCGTTTTATTATAATGGACGTATAAGCTAAAATTATCTAATTATCTATTTCAGTTAATGTTGATGATTGCGTTGTTCCTTAATTTTCGAATTGGATCCGGCTTATTATTTTTTGCAGACTGTAAGAGCAATTTTATAAAAGTAAGCTTAAACTTTCGATTATATCAAACAGAATTTCCGATATATATTTGTTAATAGCGAAAGTATGTTTTGCATCTAAATCGATCTAAAGCGAAAGTATGTTTTGAAATCCGAAATCTGTTTATCAATTTCACGCTGCTCGGCGGGGGGACCGCCGCGTGGCGGGCGCGTAATGAATTTTAAGTTGATCTGTCAACACTATCTTTATCTTCAGCGCAGATGTTTTTATTTTATTTGGCTTATAATTCCTTACCAAATGTAGTATTTCATCTCGATATGCTCCGTCTTTGATATGATTTAAAACAAGTTCCTCGTCATTATAATTCGCTTTCGATAGCGAAGAAAGTAACAGAGGTTATTGAAAAACGAAAAAATTTCGATTGACAAATTAGTCGGTGTTCTCGACACAGCAATTATAGGACTTGAACAGCGTAACTTTGTAACTGAACAAGAAATTATGTCTGTTTAATAGAATTATAGAGAAAGTATTATCACATGAAACGAAGCAAAACTTAAACAACTTACATTGAAAGAAATGTTTAATAAAGTAAACAAATAAATATTTAAGCTTTTTCTTTTTGCAAATTTGATACCCTTTAGATTATAATTGTTCTTTATTTCATAAATTACGGTTTCATATTTTTAATTTTAGAATTTCTGCATGCCATCTTACGAGATTTAAACTGATGATCTATAATCCGGAAAAATCTATAATCCGGAATCGCCGAAGTCCCGACGAGTCCGGATTAACGACTTTTGACTGTATTATCTAAAGCATAAAATACAACTTCAAAAATGCAACATACTTTCTGAGTCATAGTGCTTCATTTTTCTTTTTTTTTTTAATTTTTGGCTGAGTTACATCTGCTTGTAATATTATACTAGTTCAGTTACAGCATGATACAATTTACACATGCAGTGTTATATTTGCTAATTTTTTTAATAAAATAATAATATTGATTTTAAATCAACTTAAAAAGCTTTTTACCCATAGTTTACATAAGTGTGTTCAGCCGGGTTGCATCCTCAAAGTGAATAAAAACATAAATTTTATTTTTTTAATTTTAAATTTCTACCGAAATTTTAAAATTTTTTGTCTTTAGACTTACATAACTATATTCAAGCACTCATCACTAGAAGCACATCAAAAGTATGCAAAATTAATTTTTTAAAAAAAATTAACAGTTGGCAGCTACCTGGAAAAAAATGTCTGAGAGGGGCCCGGTATAAAATATATAGCGGGTCTCAAAATTTAGGATTTCGCTCTAGATTTTTTTTAAGTCTCAATTTTGTGTCCTTGGGTCCATAAGTTATAGTTCATGCAAAATTTTACTACAATTTAAATTATTTTATATACCGCCCCTCAAAGGGTTAAAAGCAGATTTTTGTTTCTGTTTATAAAGATTTGTTAAATTTTTATAAGAAATTTTATGGCGATCATTTTAAGCATATGTTCAAAGCAATTTTAAGGCAAAATATATATTCTTACTGCAGTTTGTTACTCAATGTTAGTTTCAAGTTTGTTTATAAAAACTGTTGAGACTTGGAATCCAACAAAAACAGTGCATGTGAAAAGGATGACACCGCTTAATGTTAAAACTAGAGAACAGTTATGCTTAAACTGATAGAGTTCAGTGCATTTTGAAACTTGGCATACATAAATAATACATAAGACCCAGATTAGTATCTATAATTAGTATAAACAATACATAAGGCACAGATTAATATTATAAACAATACGTAAGTACCCAAATTGGTATCTACAATGCTTGCAGGCAAAAATTTATTCAATTTATTATATAAAGCTGTCTTTTCCCAATGGCATTTTTATACATCCTTGAAAAACATTTGTTAAAATAAAAAAACTATGCTACTTAAGATCTGATATTAATAAAATTATAAGCTAATTTAAAACTTTGTTCACATTTTAAGAAAATGTATCATCCAAAACAATCCAAATAGAACCTGCATTAGTCTACAGCTACATTAGTCTTTACATATATATTATATAAATTGTAGGTTAACCTATATTTTAGAGAGCCCCTTGGATTATTGCCAAGTTGCTGTTTCATTTATGGTAACCTGAGCAGTTGAATGTTATGGAAACCTTATTATGACATGATTGGTTGCATGACTGCAGTGAATTTAACTGATGGGAAAATATTTGTTGGATGTCAATTAGAAAATACGTTGCTTTGCATCGTAAAATGCATCGTAAACTGTGTGCTTTGCATCGTAAAATGCATCGTAAACTGTGTGCTTTGCATCGTAAAATGGCTGTCGCTGGTAAACTGGGTGTTTGGTGGTATAAAATGAGAGAGCGAAAGTTACAGAAGAACAGAAACTGGTGCTACTTTGGTAGATGGTTGCACGGATTTTTGGCAATTTACATCGGCGCAATTGTTGGAGCGGTTTTTACAATTGTCAGCCATCTTGAAAAATGCTGTTTTTACGTATTTTACGCATAGTAAAGTATTCTAAACTTTAAAAAAATAATGGATTAATTTTTTGTTGAAAATGTCGTTTTTTAAGATGGCAGGCAAATGTAAATAAATACATTTACTATGAGTATAAAATACTAAAGTAAGGTTAAATTATTACTTTCATACAGCACAGAAACAGAATAAAAACACCGCTATAAAAACATTGTGCCAACATTTAATTGAATTAAAACATTACTTAAATTGAATATTGAATTAAAAACCACATACCAACTTTTAAAAGAATTAAAATGTTATTACTTAAATTGAATATCGAATTAAAAACATCATACCAATGTTTAAAAGAATTAAAATGTTACTTAAATTCAAATCCTTTAAAATAAGTTTTATAGGATATAATTATTTAACATTAAAACATATGTGGCAATAAATATCTCAGTAATTTTTTAAACGGTGTATTAATTTTTTAATAAAAATTGAAGTATACAATTATAAAGTAAAAGAAAAATGTGTACTTACATTTTTTTTAGTATTTAACCTGTCGTATATTGATAAGTACCACAAAAAAATCAAAATCATAATTTAGATATGAATGAAAAAAATTTGAAAAATGTAATCTAAGGAATTCGAAGAGATGAATAATAAAATTTTAAAATGGCACAATAATGCACAAATATTCAGTAACCAATCAGGGAGCTGATTACAGCTTGTTAATGCACAAATATTCTGTAACCAATCAGGGAGCTGATTACATCACAAATAAATTAAAATTACTTAAATAATCATACATAATAAAATCATTTTTAAAAAAATGCAAAATTAAATTGTATTTTAATATTTAACAGCCATAAATAATGTTTAAAACATTAGATTAAATTTATAGATATTAAAATCAATTACTTTTAAAGTAATGTTACGTCATTACATCATTCACAACATAAAATTCCATAAAATATCATAAACAATAAAATTTTTATTTCAAATAAAAATGCAAAATTAAATTGATTTTTAATATTTAGAAGCCAAAAATAATATTTAAAACACGGAATTTATACATAATAAAATGCATTATTTTTTTTAAATGCATTATTTTTTAAATAAAATGACAACAAAGTATCAGTTACCATAAATAACTTGTCTAGCAATGGATTACGTATCACTCGCCAAAAACAGTACAACCATCTATCAAAGTAGCACCCAGAAACTTTGTTGGATGTACGGAATTATAAGTGTCCTGTTTGTACGAAGGAAATGCATATGGTCGAAGGTAAAGATCGTTCAGAGGGCTTTGAATGGGTTTGTTGCATAAAAGGTTCAAATGCTCACCATATAAAGCATTCCATTAGAAAAAGAACATGGTTTGAGGAAAAATTTTGGATGCTATTAAGGAATTTTGTGTGCCACAGAAATTTCTAAATAAATTAAGTGGATATTTCCTTTGTGTACTGTGTAGATATAATAAGATGTATTTCCTTTTTTATGTTATTTCATTTTTTGATTTAAAGTACAGTTTATTGAGATATACATTTTTTGTTTGGCTGTAATGTAGAACTGGGTGCTCCTTTGATTTTTAAGTGAAAATAGATTGATGTATATATGTACATAATCAAGTCACATTTTTTGTTTGGCTGTAATGTAGAACTGGGTGCTCCTTTGATTTTTAAGTGAAAATAGATTGATGTATATATGTACATAATCAAGTCAATGCGCAATGCCAAGTTTGTGCAATTCTCTGATGCTTTTCTTAATTAAATTTAAGATTGATGAATACATGGACACCGAATTTGTGCAATTCTTTGACTTGTAATTTTTGTTTTGTGTAAGGACCACCTTGAAATTGTGCCTTGCTGGCTAATCTTCAATTTTTGCCACAGGGCACCCTTAAATATATTTTTACTAAACTGTATTTGAATAATAAACATATAATTAAAAAAAAACACTTACTTATTTACAACACACTGTAATATATATTCATCTGTCACATGCTGTTTCGATAACAATTCACATTTTGCATTACCATTAGGAATAATAGAATCTAAAATATAAAACAAAAATCTTCTATTTACATAATTAAAATATCTGTTCACACAAAACTATATTATATATATATATATATATAAAAGTTCTATACTTTTAATGTTACACTGATTCAGGCAATACAATAAAATGCTAAAAATTTAGCTGATTATTATTTCATTTCATAACCTGTTACACACGCATACTTAGTCTTAAAATATTTTAAGACACAAAAAATGATCATAACAGAATTATTCCCATTTAAAAAAAGTAATAAATTTAGAACAAATAACTACAATCAAGTGAAAAATTATTATTTATAAAACAATGAAGCAATGTGCAAGATACAGATTTTTATACTTATTAACCCATTAACAGTTTGACACGGATTTTCTCGTTCTTTTATGCAGGTCTCTTAACGGTTCGTTACGGATTATTGTTAGCTTAAATGTACCCTCGAAAACGGACAGTCCTGTGTTTTTGTATCAGTGAAAAAATGCGCCAAAAACGACTAGCCCGTATTTTTGTATGTCTTCCAACCCCCAATGCCTAAGGGGACAAGGGTCCATGCAATCCTGATGACAATGGGTAATGGCTGTCATTAGCGTGGGGAGAAATCTTATTGATGTTTTGGGATAAAGGCCTTACACTGACTCTAAAGAAACAAATTTATTACCAGTTACAAAGTGGATGCATATATAAAGGGATTTAAGAATTTCCGTTTTAGAGCAGTTATTGAATAAAAAATAGAATTTTTTACAAAATGAACGTTTACCTATAAGAGCATTAATGAATTAAAACGAGAAAAATAAAAGTAATAAATGCAAACATAAAAATCTGAAAATGCAAATCTTTCAGAGTTTACATTACGCCCAAAAGGGCGCTTTTTTAACGGTTTGTGGGTTACCTTTATTTTTAAATATCATGTTCTTTGCGCTTAAACCATAAAACTTCTGTTAAACAGCAATACCGCAAAATAAATTTTAAATGAGCATATCTTTAGAATTTCCGATACACAGTCTCGCCCGTTGGAGATAATTTTTTTATATTATTATTTTCATACAGTGTTGTCTTTGCTCGCTTTCAAATCGTTCAGTTTCTTAATAAAAAATTCATTGAAGTTTTATGTAATATGAAACAGATAATAAAACAAATTCAAAATCTCGGCTTCGAGATGCCCATATTCGGGTGGAAATGTACGTTATTCAAAATTGGATGGGTCTAGGTACCGTTGTTTTATCACAATGCGATGGGTTTGGTCTAGGTACCGTTGGATGGTAACCTGCATAAATGTATGTATGTAAACATACATACATTTACGCAGGTTATTCATTATTTAATTTCAAGGCAGATAGCCCTCGAGTGCTTTGCCGTAATCTAATAAACCAAAACCATTATTTAATTTCTTTAAATATAATACAGGGCTGTAATATTTGATAGCAACAGTTTAAAAAGTGAACTGACATAGTTTTCAAAGCAAAATGCCAAAATGAAGTTAATAGACCTTCTCGGCTAACGCCCTTTGAGCTAAAAATAATGTATCGTGTAATTTAATGGGAATACGAGATTAAATAATTCTCTTTAAAAAATTCTTCTACAAATTTATATCACAAATAATAAAAACGTGAGTCTCTCTTGATAAATTTATAAATCTTATACGTCTGACAATGCGATTCAATTATTTGATTTCGTAATTTAAGAACCTATGATTCTTGTTATAAAACTGTACAGGAATTTAGCAAAGAGGCTATTAAGTAAACTCTTATTACCATTAATCCATGCGATAAACTATTATTATTATTACTTTTGGTTTAGTCTTTTACTTCTAAGTATCCTTTTACCTCAAATAATCGAAAAGATATATAAATTTAAAACAAAATTCGCCCCGAAATCAGAAATTAGGTTACGAATTTCATGCAAATTTTATTTCAAAACCTATTTTACGCTCTGTAAAATGATGCAAACTTAAAAATTTCGAGATTTTTAGTTCTTCTTTAAATGGAAATATGCGTAAAAAATTTCTTCAACATTAAATTTTAAAAACTCTAAATCGAATTATTATCATCCGTAAACGGTATGTGTACAAAATTTGAACTCAATAGCTTATTGAGAAGTAGTTAAAAAAAAGACGACGAGCTTTTAATTAAACACCGTGAATGGGAAAAACCTTTAAAAAAACATGTTTCTTTGCTTAATATGGTGTAGGAAACCCGTTGGCATCCAAAACAGCTTGCAGTCTTCTCGGAATGGATAAATACAGTTCCTGTATGTTTGCCAAGGGAATATTATACCATTCTTCCTGCAAAACGGTGGCAAATTCAGATAACGATGGTGGCGGTGGATAATGAGAACGCACTTTCTGTTTCCAATGTAGACCACAAAGGTTCGATAATATTCAGGTCTGATGACTGTGGTGACCAGGGAAGATGGGACAACTCATCCTCGTGCTCAGAAAACAGTCCTGGACAATTTGAGCTGTGTGAACAGGGGCTTTGTCGTCTTGGAAGACACCATCACCATCAGGGAACAAAGTTGTACCATGGGATGAACTTGATCGACCAAAATGTTCACATAAGTCTTGGCAGTCATGTGCCCTGACACAGTTATCATGGGGCTGTTATGGTTTGGGCAGCCATGTTTCACTCTTGGCTACAAGTAGTCTGTATCATAGGCTTGAGATGGCGTTCTCCAGACGTAAACTCGGCCAGAAGTGAGAAACAATGTGAAAGAAGACTCGTCAGACAATATTACTCGCTCCCACTGCTCTATAGTCCAGGCTTTATGACTTAAGCACCACCTTTTCCTGTTATGGGCATTAGCATCACTGATGAGTGGCTTCTCAATTGCAGCACAGCCAGCAATTCCCTGTTTATGAAGCTCCCTTCTAATTGTTTTGGTACTCACAGAGTTCGGGTAACACAACATTCATTTCAGCAGTAACTTTTGCAGCTGTGGTCTTCTTATTTCTCGTCACAATTGCCCTTAATGATCGTCTGTCACGATCACTCAGGACACACTTTCGTCCGCGCAGTGATTTAGCAGATGATGTTTTTCCGCTTTTCATATCTGCGGAATAAATCTTCGATACAAGTACCTCTTGAAACACTAAACACCTCGGCTACCTTGCTTACGGAAGCACCTACCATACGTGCTCCAACAATTTGCCCACGTTCGAAAAATACAAGGTGAACTGAGAAGTTGTCAGTATTTTCAATATTTATACTTATATTTTTATAACATTCTGGCATTATGAAACGTGTAAGTGACATTCATAAGCGATTCCCGACAGTTCTGTTTCATTTGTCAAAGTGGCTGCTTTTGAAAATATTGTGAAGCTCACTCGATGTGCTCCACTATCTATGATACTCATTAAAGATATTTAATTAATGTTTATTTCTATACAGAAATACTGGTAAAATTAAGAGGTCAAATATTTAATTATTTGAGTTATATAACTACTTATACTGTCTCAAGAAATTTTGTGTCATTTCGTAAAAATAATTTTTAAAATTCCTTTTTTCCCTTACCCCTATGCTTAATGACTTTATTACTATTCTGATGAATGGAAGGTTTGTAGAGACATTATACATTTTTTTTTAACAGCAAGAGACATGAAAAATGAGCAATGCCTTACCCGGGACGCGAACCACGGACTTCTCGAATGCGCGCCGAGGCGTACTGAGACCACGAAGGCATGCTAAAAGGGCGGGAGAAAATACCGTATATACTCCCACCTTTTAAAGGGCGACTGGGGATTAGGGGACCGAATCGCCAAATCCTTGCGGCGGAGAATCATCATCCACCACCCTTTTTGGTTTGGGTGCCACTATAGAAACATTAGGTTATTTCGAAGCAGGACATGTGAAATAGGAGCAATGCCTTCGCCGGCACTCGAACCACCAACCTCTCGAATACACGCCGTGCGTGCTGACCATTACACCACGAAGGTATGCTAAGAAGGCGGGAGAAAATACCTTATAGGTTATGAAAACCAAAAGTTGAGTAGGTAGTCACAAATCTAACTAATAAATGCTCTACAAATACAACTTTTAATATTTTAGCAGAATTTTTTGGAAACGTATTTATATAGATTGTTGTAGAAATCGACACAGTTTGATGCCAGTTTAGAGGAGGGGTTGTTTTATGAGCGTATTAAAAATGCTTTTCCCACTCAAAATGTTAACTACTTTAAAATAATAATTCATAATCGCACTGAATCTGATGTTTACAATTATTTCCCCTGAGATTTCTTTAAAAAGAAAGAATTACAATTGTGTTTAATGCAGAAAATTTAATGGAATTGGCATCTGCGCAAGAGGACGGAAACTATCAGGGAGGACTTTCTAAGGAAAACTAGATTTCCTTCACATTGAACGTAGAAAACTTTCACCGAACAAGCGTGTTCACCAGGATTTGAACTTATGTAGGATTACCAGTACTCAGCGGTTTTAGCGCTTGGCCACTGGGGCCCGCAGACCGATTAAAAAAATCTTGTTTAGAAACCTTTATCTTGATTTAGTGTGACAGGTGCCGTAGTTTGAAGGTTAAGGATTACTTGAATACAGCAAAACACACGAGGACTATCTGCTTTTAAGGAAAGAGATGATGCCTTCGTAGAGGACTTTTTAACGAGAAAAGTCTCATATTCATGTTATACATAGGAAAAAACATGGAAAAATACCATTCAGCCATCGTATTCGTTCGTCAGGGTGTAAATCTAAGTCGAACTACCAGTATTTACCGGCCACTAATATGGCCGTAGTTTAATAGGGGAAATAACTGTTGGACTGTAAGGCATCTAAATTAAGAAATAAAAAAAAAAAAAAATCACTTCTGAGGTAATCTTAAACCCAAATTAAGTTTTTTATTATAATTATGAAAGAGTTCAACTCATTTGTTAATTTTCAGATCGTTAAAATTAGTGTGGCTTTAATGAATGATTATTTAGACCTGTTACAGGAAACAAATACATCAAAAGTTTCCTTTAAAATATCAGGAATTATTGAAAAATCTTCTGTA